CATATAAAGAAATCAAAGTGTATGACCACGTAAAACATCTTATGTTCGTCAAATAAGCACTAAAAGCTTTTATTCAACCAATGGAGCTGCAAAGAAATCTCAGCTCTCGAGTAGGTAAATATCATAATCACCTGTGGACACATTCTACGTAATAACATTCGGGAGCTCTGCTCCACCTAATCCCCACATACCATGGTAGTCTTAACGATGTTGGCTGACATTGGAGAAATCAAGCAGCCGCAATCGCAAATATCACTTGTGGCCTCGTCACATATAACAACTCGTGGCCTTGCCACTTATATCACAGACCATGGCCCCAGCCATGTCTAACAGTCCATAGGTGACCCAAAGGTTCTCTAGCTAGAGCTCACTTGTGCACATGGATCATACTTAACCGAAGTGACAGCCGGCCTACTCTCGAAGCTCTTGGTTTATCAAAACTGTTTTTAAAATCAAATCGGGTTTTACAAAGCTTTTCCTTTTAATCCTTTCAAATCAAGGTTTGATAACCCTTTTGATATTACTTTTCAAGTTAACTGGCATGGTGTAATCACTTTTACAAAGATCAAAATAAAACCAAAGCTCAAAACTTGCATTTCAAATCATTTTGCAAATGCATTTAGCTATGCATATCACATAAAAACACAAGGCATAGATTTTGAAGCAAATATCATGAAAGGCTTGTTTCCCAATTTCTAAAACTTTTTACATATATGGTTTATCTATAATTATATCCAAAACTCCTTTCAAAACGATTTGCATCCATAAACTTCCTATAGTTTCTACCAGCTCATACTTTTTACAATAGCAATATACAAATCATTATAAATCCATTTTTAAAAATGGCCTATCGGCTAATAACTCATGCTATCCACAATGCATTGAAGAAAACCATCAACACTTGTTAATGTAAAACAACATATACAGTATGCAGATTTTAAAATTGACACTCCCTACTCATCTCACAATGGCGGGATATCACTTTGCCACTAATCCAATTATACTTCCTCCTTTG